ATAATTATGTGATCTATGTACATTTTTTTTAATGATGGACTACATAGTTATAAATACATGATTCATATGCATACTCTCTGGCTGAATAAGCTAATTCTTCACCTATTATTTAATTTCTAGGAGTAGTAAAATCAATGTACTTTTATATATTGTCATTATTTTAAAAAATTTGCTAAGTACCATCCTAATCTTCCAAGCTTTTTAAATTTAATTTGCTTTTTCCAAGCCATATCATAAATCTTGTAATATTAAGATCCATCCCTATACCACCTTAATGTTATGTATTATCATACCACGGTTTACAGGCCTAGAGGATTCCCCCAATTAAAGATTAAGAGTACACTTGTTGTGATCACTGAAAAATGGATAGAATTTTTTTTCTTTTTTTAATTTTTTTACCAGAGAGAGAGATAGAGAGAGCACAAGAGGGGGAGTGGTAGGCAGAGGGAGAAGCAGGCTCCCCACTGAGCAGGGAGCCCAATGTGGGACTCAATCCCAGGACCCTGAGATCATGACCTGAGTCAAAGGCAGACGCTTAACCAACTGAGCCACCCAGGCATCCCGAACAGAATTGCTGAATCACTATTTTGTATGCCTGAAACCAATATAACACTGTATGTTAATTATACTGGAATTAAAATTTTTAAAAATATGTGGACACAGAAACATCTTAAACAATAAAAGAATTATACAAACATAAAATAATTTGACCAATATCATGAAAATACAAAACATGACAAACAATAAAATAAAATAAAGGATTCCCGCAATTAGCATTAACTTGACCCTAGTACTAGTTTTTCACTTTCTTAGAAGATTATGAGAGATACCTGGTATCTCTGTATTTCATATGATTAGCAAAGAATACATGTAAATTCAGGGCGCCTGGGTGGCTTAGTCGTTAAGCGTCTGCCTTCGGCTCAGGTCATGATCCCAGGGTCCTGGGATCGAGCCCCTCCGTCAGGCTCCCTGCTCAGCAGGAGGCCTGCTTCTCCCTCTCCCACTCCCCTGCTTGTGTTCCCTCTCTCACTGTGTCTCTCTCTGTCAAATAAATAAATAAAATCTTAAAAAGAAAAAACATGTAAATTCAGTCTTTAGATTTTGCTTGAAATGTTCATGGATGAAAATTCATATGTATGAATACATTAAAAATATATATAAATTCTTATTTTACTTGTTGAAACACAGTACAGAAATCTAAAATTTCAGAAGTATCTATGGTTTTATGACTGCACAAATTCAAATGTCCCAAAGCTAATATTGATTCCACAAAATTCGGTATTTAAAAATACAAGAAAAATAATAATTAGAAAAATATCAGTTATTACAACTTTAAAACTATATATTCGTAAGGTTCAAATGGAAAATTTTCTATGGATTCCTATAATTTCCAGATAATCTGTGTCCTGGTAGAATAAGCTCATAAAAGAGGAGAGCATGAATAATGATGGCCTATTGTAACTAGTCTCATGTTTTATATCACATTTGCATATTTAGCTTTAAGACAGGAACCTAAATTCTTGCATGGATTCATAGGTCATTACCTGAAATCTTAAATTTTGCATTCTGTGGTAACTTCACTTATCACCCAGGGGAAAAACAACATTCTTTTGTTTCTGAGATCTGAGTTCCTACTGCTTTCGGAGCTTAATCTGGTATTGAAGCAATTTAAAAGGTGATTCTCAAAGATAGATAGATAGATAGATAGATATTCCTGGAATCCTCAGAGGAGGAACCTATGAAGACATGTGGATGAATTAAGCACAGGTGGAAAACAGAGAAATTACTGAGGCTCATTTGGGCCCTCACTTTTTCCACTTTTCCCCAGACACAATTTCCCCACTATGGTCTAGGAGAACTGGCTGTACCTCTTCTGAGATGTGAAGGTTTGGTTTTTAGTTCTTGAGTGCTTCTAAAGGTACCTTAGAAAGGCTTGCTCTCTGAGAGGTTTGGAAACCTCTCCTGCGTGATCTGTGAAGGTGGCAATCAAGGATTTTGCTTTTAAATCTTCCCACCTATGACATCTGGCCCAGATAGGACTCCAGGTTTTCTCTTACAGTGCTTCCAGGGAAAACTTGGGTTGTTTGGTTATGCCAGTTCCATCTCCTAACATACGTTTGAGCTCTAGTATCACGGTAGAATATAAATTGATCCAGGAGGGAGTTTCCTTTCCTAACTCTTGAGCTGAGACACACCGATAAAAAAGTGAATCTGGCCTAGGGACAAAAATAAGGCCCACCTGGAGGAAAGAAAAAAAAAAAAAGACTCCCTTTCAAGAGAGGAGGAAGGGTGTCACAGACAAATAGACTATGGTCTCCATCTGAAAAAAACAAAAAAGATTTCCTGAACTCTGTAGGGTCCAAGACAGAGCTCTGCCAGTCCCTCAGCAGCAGAGGAGGGAGAAGCATCCAACAGGAAGTTGCCAAGGGATCTTTACAGTGTGTGTGTGTGTGTGTGTGTGTGTGTGTGTGTGTGTGTGTCCCCTCTTGTTCCCATCCAGTACCCACCTCCCCTGATCTTAGGCTCTGGAAGTGCTCCTGATTATGACAAACTGCTGGGGAAGTAAGATCAAAGACCACAGACTTGGGATTTTCTGAAACATGACTTGCTATTTATTAAAAAATCTGCCTGGAGAAAGAAATGAGAGGAATATTTACCAGCTTGAAGTCAGGTGACTAATTCACCTCAGTTCATAATGTATCAGTTTTCTTTATTCATGAGTATTTTCTAAGATCCCAGCCACCTTCAGCTCTACCAGAAATTATTTTGAGATATGGGAGGAAGGACCTTGTATTTTCAAATAAATTTACATACATTTTCAAAGCAATTCAAAATGTCTGAAAACAGGAAAGCAATAGGAAACAAGGTAAACTATCCCTTGAAAAAAGATGTTAAATGTACATTTAGAAATCGAGGGGAATCCAAGTAAACAAGGTAAAGCATGCTCATGGAAAGAAGATTCACCTACTGGAAAAGGGAGTCACAGCATTCCTTTATTTCTTACTTTCAGAAAGTGACAAACTTCTTTGAGTAAGATGGGGGGAAGAGGGCTGATTTCCTTCATCCCATTATGAGAAAAATATATGAATCAGTACCCAATGATACACACGGCTAGACAACTTATTCGAGATAGCCAAAATTTTTCTCAAATTCTCTTTCCTCTTTTTGTGTAATACAACCAGCACACACATTTCTGCCTCTCCTTCCCTGATTGTACACGTTCCGAAAGGTCAATTCTTGGTATCTGAGGTAGTTATATTCTATAAAATTACCACAAACTCTGAATTAGTCAACACTAAACCATTGCTCCTAGAGAATTTACCAGGGGTACATTTCTGTGAGCCTCTTGTCACATTTTTGTCAACCCATCAATACAACATATTGTTAATTCATTAACGGTAAACTCATGGCCAACAGCATCGTAATTCATGCCTGAATGAAGTTTATGTAGGTATTACTTTCTCCTTAAAGAACACCACAGGATTCTTGTGCCTAGGTAAACTAGACAGCACTTCAGCATGACAACACTTGGGAAGCCATTTTAAATAGCAAAATCACCAACAAAAAGCCCCTGAATGAGAAAAAACATGGCACTAGACCATGAAAAGGACACTTGGTTATTATACAGTCTGACAGCTCAAACAAGAAGCCACAGTATTGCCCTGTTTGACCTATCTGGGAACACATACCTCAAATGACTCAAATTTTTTGGCACTCCATGTTTGTTCAAGAATGACATCAAAAGCCCTGTATTCATTTGGGGGTTACAAATAAATTTTAGCATGTAGGCAAAATGGCAAATACAAAGTCTGAGAATAATGAGGATTTACTGTACGGAGGCTTCAATTCCTTCACTGTGATTAGAAAGACAGTTACCTCAATAGGGCAGTCATGAACCAGAACTGGGAAGTCAGGAAAAGAGAACCAGGTCCCAACAGCTACCTTTAAATTCCCAGTGAGGTGACAACCAAAATGCCTAAGATTTAATAGACATTATTCAAAAAATGACTAATTAATTCTGCTTAGTTTTTGCTTTATCGTAAAACGTGAGATGGGATACAGGGCCTCTCAAAAATGAGCTTCATATTCCAACTCAATGAAAATTTGTAATTTATAATCTTTTCAAGGTACTGTCAAATTTATTCATAAATATCCCAACTGCAATTAGTTTTACCATCCTTTCAAATCAAACCAACAAAAAACTGGATCCACAATTTGTATTACCTGTTAGTTTTTCCATCCACCATAGTCTAAACCCATTAGAATACTTAATCCTTCCAAATAAAGAAGTTTATAAAATCACCTGCATAATAGATAGTTGCCTTTCAGTTTTTCTTCCTTTGACTAAACAAACTTAATGCTTAAGATTTTCCACTTAGGGCTCTACCAGTACTTAGTGCTATACTCTAGTCCAGTCTTTTTTTTTTCAGTCTTAAGATACAGAAAAAGGAATGTACCCTTCTTGTATTCTTTCAGAGCAGGGTTGAAAGGCAGTATCACCTACCATATTAGGTATTTTCTTGTAAGGACTACTCTACTGCATGTATCTCAAGTCCATTTTTTACAAGTCACACATTAACTCATCATCACTGTGTGTTCCAATAGAATAAGATTTCTCAACCAAGAATTACCAGAAAGCCTCGGGGCAGGGGAAGGGAGGCTCATCAACGAAGGCCCCCATGTTCTGAGTCCCAGGATTTTTCTGAAAAGAAAACCATAGCCTTAGCAGACGTGCAAACGGGTCTATGATCCTCCACACCTCCAAAATTTTAAGAATCACCTCACTGTATTCTCTTTAAAAAACTTTAATGTATGAGATTGGGCAGTATAATTTGACATCATTCAGTATCTAATCCTATTTTCCAAAGTTCTGGCACCTCTAGCAAGTTGTAATTTTATAAGCAGAACCAGGCACTCTGATTCTACTTTTGTATTTTTAAGATACAATTAAACATATATTTCTAGCACTTAAAGGATTTTAAGTATTGTCAAATATATTTGGATTATATCTTAACCCATAGTACTTCACACAGTTCATGGTTTTAAAGAGATTAAATTAAATCTGAATTTCTAAACCTAAATATATTGTGACAGTGACACTTGCGATTGTTTCAAAATTAATGGAAAGCATGTCATTTTTTTGAAATGAACTTGGCGTAAAAGGCAGCAAAGAGGTCCTTATAAGGAGTGTCTGAATCTGACTTGGTCAACGGTATTCGGCAAAGTTGACGAAACCTAGGAGAGCGCAGCAGCAAGTTCTGTGAAAGGCCCATGAGGCTGGAACATAACCAGTAGAGCACAATCGACTAGAAAGAGAAGAAAGGACATGAATGTTAGTACTTCTCAACTCTCCAAGGACACCGACGTCCGGAGACGGGCAGGTGGTACAAGAGAAAATGACATTGTGGGGAAGCAGCCGTGGACAGGGACTGAACAAGACCTGTAGCAGCTATCTGACACCTGTGACAATTCTACTAGCTAAGAAAGAAGGCTAAAAGGACTAAAAAGTGAAAAGAAAGCAACCGGAGAGGTATTCATGATAGTAAGTGGATGAGAGAGAGCAGTGCCCAGGCAGAGGCTCAAGAGAGATCTCCCCTCCCCTCTTTGGCAAGTAAGCACCCTTTTTCCCCATCAAGAGGCCTGACAAGCTGCTCTACTGGAGGTAGGGTACTGGGGGCACAGCCATTTAGGCTCCCTAGACCCCATTTTCCTCTACATAGTGATCTATCACCCCAAATTTTCCCAGTAACTGGTTTCTTAGGAATGAATTTGCCTTTTTCAGAGATGAACAGTCTCAGCATCATCTTCAACTTTCTTTTGTACTTCCATTCAGAGTGATTTATTTAGGTTACTGACTAAGTTCTGTAGCCTTTCAAAATATTCCCATAGTTGGGAGTTGCAAACTTTTCTTTGGCATCAGAACGTGATCAGGCCCCAGAGGCATGAGCCTGTGGTGGTTGAGTCCAGGTCCTGGAGCTGAACTGCCTGAATGTGAATTCCATTTATGTGACTACAGGGAAGTTATTTTCCTTCTGTTTCAGTCTCCTCATCTATAAAATGGGGACTGAACTATACCTGCCTCAGAAGGCTGCTGTGAGGAAAAAGGGACATAACTCACACAGACTGGTAAGCACAGTAGGTGGCCTATATTAAGTACTTGGATTGGTTCCAAAGCAAATTTTTCAGCGCAGAAAGTACCACATCCTCAAAGCAGATTAGCATAGTAGTTATGGGCAGGAGCTAAACTGCCTGGATGGGTCTTAGATACTTAAGTGATATTACATGTCCCTTAATGGATGAGTGACTTTGGATAAGCTACTTACCCTCTCTGTGTCTCAGTATCCTCATCACTAAAGTGGAGACTATGAAATAGCACCTACTTCAGTGCACACTGGATGAATTATACGAGCTAATACATGTAAACCTTTTAAAACAGTGACTGGCACAAAGTCAATACTGAATGAGTATTAGCCATCATCATCATTTGACTTATCCAGTACGAAAAAGTACTCTGAAACCAACTATGGTAGACTACGAACTACCTACTAAGAATAATTCTTCTTCCTTAGTAGTAAAATTCTCATTTTAAGCTGGGTATACTACCATCAGAAAAAAAAGGACTAATTCCCAGTCTCTTCTGCAACCAGGTGTGGCCCAAGTAACTAGGATGTTAGCACAAGTGTTTGGTGTGACATCTGTCACACAGTGTCAAGTGCTAAATGCACTTGAAGCACCCTTTTACCATTCCTGCAAGATAAGTTCCAGCAGCCACCATGACCATACTGTGGCCTTAAGGATAGAAATTACAGGCTGTGAATGGTGGAACATAATGAGAGAGGCAGGCTGCGTTCTTCATGTATCTTCATGGAGCTGCCACATCAGCTCTACACTAAATTGCCTAACTCTGAATTTCCTATATTTGAGAGAATAAACTTTTGGGTATTTAAGACACTGCTTTTGAGATCTCTGTTATTCACTTTAAACCCAATCCCTCACTGAAAATTCACTGCTCCTATTTCATTTGATCAGGGAGTTTCCTGATAATATATAAACTGGTATTATTTCTCCCCAGAAATGCAGTGAATCTGTACTGTTCTATTTTCACATGAAAAGTACTATAATAAGCACTTCATGCTACTTTATTAGTTCTCACAGACATTATGAGGTCTACTTTAGAAATGTGGAAACTGACTTATTTTACACAGGATTAGTGACAGTATTATGACCAAGGGACAGCTTTAAAAAATACATTTTTGATGCTGAAAATGCACTGTTTCAGATTCCTAAGACAATAAAGTACTCTGATATATGCTGATAGAACCCTATCTATCCCCAGTAAATGAATTCTACTTCATGGTCTATGTGTTGGCCCTGAGCAGAGACAGAGATAATACCTAAGACAGCTTTTGCCCTCTTTCCACTAAGTATCATTAGGAAATAAGCAAAAGGCTAAAAATGTGAAATAACTGCAAACGTAACTATTTTTTTTCTATTTCTATCAAAGTGTATTGACATATAAATGGGGGCAGGTGTACCTACCTCACTGAATTGTTGAGGTTAAATAATATCACATATGAACCCATATGGACTTGGCACAAAGTTTTGTTTCTTTTTTAAGAGCTAAATTCCTTGGCCCACTCTATGTAGACAGAAGGAATTCAATATTTCAACTAATCAAAAAGAACAAATACTATGTTTAAACACTGTGCAAGATTTAAAAAAAAAGAAAGAAAGAAAAAGGAATTTGAGAGTTAACTCACATTCACACAAAGGAAGATTAACTAATCCCAAGAAATATCAAGTGTCACTTGGTGATATTAATTACTACAGAAACTCGGAAACTAATAAGGGACTTAGCAGTCAAAGGAAGCTCTACAGAAGACACACAATCCTGGCTGGTCTAAGCACAGAGAGGATTTAGCAAATGCTACACACAATGTGGGTGCTTACTCACTGAAGGTAGGGTTGCAGCAACTGGAATCATCAATACTGATACCGCACGAACAAAGTAGGTAATATATGTCTGAAAACGAGACATTCCAATTTTTTGCAGAGCAAAAATCTGAGAGGGTAGAATAATAAATACACACAATAATTATTAAGCATATTATATCAGACAAGCTTTAAAATACAATTTGATTTTTGACTGGCCTCCACCTATATTTTAATAGAAGCAAAAAAATTAAAACACTGATAAATGTAGAGTTGATGATCTATGTTTCTGAAAAACTTAATAATTATGCAGAATTATTAATGGAGCTTTAATCAATAGCAATAAAGGGGATTCAGCTATATTAAAGAGCATAATTTTTACAAGTCAATGTTTTTTAAAGATTGTAAGACTGAAAGTCCTTTCAAGATAGGTGCTATGTATGAATCATTACCCTTGTTTTGGTGCTTAAATACAGTGCCTGGCATAAAGAAGGATCGTAGTTGGAATCTCAAAGGTTTGTGATCTGGCTATATGGAATAAGGGGAAGAACCAGGCTAGGAAAAGCAGTTATGACTTATAAATAACTTATTTAAGAGATAGAATAATGAAATGATTGTGAGCACAGACTCCATATCCAAACTACCTAGATTCACATGGCAGCCCTGCATTTAATAGTTATGTGATTTTGTGTAAGTTACTTAACCTTTCCGTGTCTTGCTTTCTCAACCTTAAAATGGGGATAATATTAGTACCTATATCACAGGATTATTCTAAGAATTAAATGAGTTAACTCACATAAATTTGTTTAAAATAGTGCCTGGCACATGGTGGATATTGTGTAAGAATAAGGTTTTTTTTTAAAAAGATTTTATTTATTTACTTGTCAGAGAGAGACAGACAGCAAGCACTCACACAAGCAGGGGGAGCGGCAGGCAGCGGGAGAGGCAGGCAGAGGGAGAAGCAGACTCGCCACTGAGAAAGGAGCTGGATGCAGGACTAGATCCCAGGACCCTGGGATCATGACCTGAGCCAAAGGCAGATGCTTAACCGACTGAGCCACCCAGGCGTCCCAAAAATAAGTTTTTATTAAACTTATGTATAGTGGGTTGTTAGTTGGTAAAAGGAAAGACTAGAAGACTGACATTAATTCACTGTGACCTTGTATTGATCATTTTCTTCATTCTAACAAATATTCACTAAGTACGAAATACATTCGATGATGCTAGGTGACCTTAGGGAAACACACTTAAAACTACACATGGAGTCTTTTCTCAAGAAACCCTAACCCAAAACATTAGAGTATCATCTTCACTTTTCTCATTTGAAAAAATAAAGGGTTTGAGGCACCTGGGTGGCTCAGTCAGTTAAGCGTCTGCCTTTGGCTCAGGTCGTGATCCTGGAGTCCTGGGATGGAGCCCCACGTTGGGCTCCCTGCTCAGTGGGGAGTCTGCTTCTCCCTCTCCCTCTGCCGCTCCCCCTGCTTGTGCTCTCTCTCAAATAAATAAAGAAAATCTTAAAAAAAAAGTAAGGGTGTATTTGATTTCCGAAAGAGACCAGCGATGGGTCTCTGAGATGAGGTTCTAAGGATCATTTCTAAGGTTTCTTCTAGTTCAAAGAGTCTATGTTCTACTCAACTGAGAATAGCTCCTTATACAATTAAAGGCTTGCTTCCCCTAAACTGTTGAGTAACAGAGCATGGGATAATGGTAAGACATAGTTGACAGATCATATTTTATATGTATGTGTTTTTCTACTCCATCACATAAAGTACTGACTCTTCTAGGGTCATACAGCTAAAAAAAAAAAAAGACAGATACTATGTTTCCTACTTGCAAATTTACATTTTAAACATATACACAAAATACCAATCTACTGTGAGAATAAAACCAGACTGATTAACCATTTTAATTACTGTCTTTACCAAAAACAAATCACAAAATTGTGTGTATTAGATTCATATAATTGTAAAGCTGGAAAAGACTTTGGAATTGTTCTAATTCAGCTCTTCCATTTTAATTATGAGCATTCTGGCCCCCAGAGAGGTTAAGGAACTGGCCTAAGACTTGCCAACAGCTGATCTATGACCAGAAACCAAGGAATCTCAATTATGGCTCAAAGCTAGAATATCACTACCAATTCAAACACATTTATATTTGATGTTGGAACAGCAACAAAAATCCCAATAATTTAAATGGCAAACAAATCTCATTTAAAACCACTGACCTCCACTATTAATAAATTGATGATACCAACAGAGATAGGCAGAATCCAAGTAGAATCCAGTGCAGTGAGGTCAGGAAACCACAGGATTCCATCAGTAGCTAACTGTTCCTGAACAGAAAAACCTGCTAAGACAGTTTTATAAATAAAACATAGCAGAAGGAAATATACAACACATTAGTAGTCTAAATCAAATAAGGTGTCCTTCACACTAAAGACTTGCATTGGTTTTATTCACTTTCAATCCACAACATAAATTAGTCTTCCTGTACTGAGAAAGCAGCAGCTTTCTGTAGCAAACAGATGTAGGAGCCTAAAGATACACAGCATCACTCTTTTTAAACTTATATTTATATAATTATTTGTCCATAGGCTACTTTCTTTCAAGTCTGTTCAGATATTTTCTGGTTGGAAATGCCTTTAAGCAAATGCTTTAGTTTATAGTTTCTTTTTTTTTTAATTAGTTTATAGTTTCTTAATAAATGTTTACATTTATAACTGTGAATGCTTTTCTGGTCCCTTAATTTTATAAATGGAAAAAATTCTTGGCCAGGAAACTGAATAATGGAATTGTAACATGAATTTTATTATGACTTCCATGAAGAAGTATAACTGACTGTTAAACAACTCAGGGCTTAAGGGTGCGGACCCTCTGAGCAGTTGAAAATCTGTGTACGGGGCAAATGGCTGGCTCAGTGGTAAAGTGGGTGACTCTTGATCTCAGGGCTGCGAGTCCAAGCCCCACATGGGTATGAGATTACTTAAAAATAAAATCTTTTTTTTTTTTTAAGATTTTATTTTTTTGACAGAGAGAGACACAGTGAGAGAGGGAACACAAGCAGGGGGAGTGGGAGAGGGAGAAGCAGGCTTCCTGCTTCCCAGGACCCTGGGATCATGACCTGAGCCAAAGGCAGACGCTTAACGACTGAGCCACCCAGGCGCCCCTTAAAAATAAAATCTTAAAAAAAACCTCTGTATAACTTTTGACTCTCCAAGAACTACAGAAAGCCTATTGTTGTCTGGAAGCCTTATCAATAGCATTTATATGCCGTAAGTATCATATACCGTATTCTTACAAGAAAGCTAAAGAAAAGTAAATGTTATTAAGAAAATCATAATGAGAGGCACCTGGGTGGTTCAGTCGGTTAAGTGTTGGACTCCTGATTTCGGCTCAAGTCATGATCTCAGGGTTGTGAGATCCAGCCCTGAGTGGGGCTCATCCAGCCCTGGGTAGGCTCTGCGCTCAGCGGCGAGTCCACTTGAGATTCTCTCCCTATCCTTCTGCCCCCCCCCGCCAAATTAAAAAAAAAAATAATGAAGAGAAAATACGTTTACAGTGCGGGACTGTAAAAAATATACCTGTAAGTGGACCTGCCCAGTTCAAACCTGTATTGTTCAAGGGTCAACTGTATTACTGTTGTCCTTCCTCCATTCATGTTTTCTCAACACGGCTAGTTTGCTTACACTTAATATTTTAAACTCTATACTCTTATAAGAAAGATGGTAAAAACATTCTAACTATGAAAAGCATAGGGATTTTTTTTTTTTTTTGCCTTTTTTTTCTTTAGAGTACAAAGACAATGTTAGAGAACTTATCTGGGGGAAACAGACTTCTATGATAACTACCTTCTGAATGTGTTGCCCCTGTGCTAAAATTCCGGAGAGCAACAGACATGAAGATCCACACTGGAAACTGAATCCAGACCAAAACAGTGGCTTTGAAAGGGTGGCAGTTATCCCGAACATACAGCTCTGAAACAAGCCTCCGCATATTCTTTAGATAAGTGAGCCTAGTTTGAGGGAAGGGGGGAAAAAGGGAAAGGAGAAAATATCATTTGACTATTAATAGTGCTTCACACCCGTAGCACAAACACACCCATGTTGTGGTTATTAGCTAAAATTTTGTGTCGGAGTTTTAGTTGTCATAGACTTTACTAAAGGGTTGCCTTACAAAAGGCAAAAAAGTCTTTTACTGAAAATTCTCTAGCAATGTACACAAATTACATAACAATTTGATAAATCTGACATTATCCAAACTACAAGCTTTGGCTCTGGTGGTCTTTGGCTAATTAAGTCTTAACAAGTGAAATTTTACTACTGGCATGGTATAATTACAGTTTGTATCAAAAATTCTAAAGGTGAAAGCACATTTAACTCAAATCCCTCCATTCCAGCCAAGCTCAATTACTTGATCCCTGAATATACTTTTTGTAGCAATGTGGTTTTGTAATATGTATGCTCTTGAGCTATCAAAATGGTTTCCATTCTTTAGCCAACTCTTTTATGAAGATTTTCTTAATCTGTTTCTCTGTTAACCTTATTCGTTATTCCTGTTCTTGTCTTAAGTCCCACTTTCCCTAGGCTCCTTGAAGATCAAGTGTTGAATCTTTCTCATCTCTAAATCTCTTGTAGCATGTCTTTTACAACGTAGACATCCAAGGGGCTTGAAGCCAACAGAATTATAGTGTATTATTGCACTAAGACAGTACACAGACATTCCAGGCTTTATAAGTTAGAGTCTGCCTACTCTTCCAACTTTATCTGTTACTCTTCCACAGACACCTGTATATTCGGTGCCTACACACACAGGCTATCCAATAAATCAGACTTCTACATCAGCATGCTTTTGGAAGTCATTAAGTCACCTGTGTGGACAGTTCACTTACCTGGCTGTCCACCTGACAAACTCTCTTTAACCCTACAAGACTCAGTTCCATTGAAAATCCAAGAAACTCTTAGATGTGTCTTCCTAGAAAGTCATCTATCTGTGCAAGGATGTGTCTGGACAATCATCCTGCCAATGCTGCATAAACAAGGTACCAGTCGTGTCTAGGCTGCATTTATAGTACAGATGAGCAGCTTACTAATCTGTTCTTTTGGCCTGGAGTTGTCACTCTTAGATTTCTCTGATCAGTAAAACTTCAAAACTGTTAAGTTTGTCAACTTTTTATTTTATTAAGTAAAGATATTAAGCTACCATAATGATTTATTTAAATGTCAGATCTTTTTAACATTAAAGAGAAAAGCAATTTCATATTGAAGAGAGTTGGCACATTTATACACATATAGGTAAAAATATACAATAACCATATATACATTATATATACATAATATAAAGCCCTTCTTTTTCTCATTGCTGTGAACTGGTGAACACTTAGTCACAGCCTGGTAAGGATTATAATTTGACTAAGTACTAACTTAGGCTGATTGAAGCAGGAGGACTTAGAAGTTCCCAATGGATAACTACAGGCACAGAATTGCAGCATGCATGGTCAAGCACCTTCTAAGGGCTTTCGAAGAGCCCAGACAGACAACTACACAGGGACCACAGTGGACAGACAGCACACCTTGCTATCTACTTTCTTCTACCAGAGCATTCACATTTGCTACCTCCCCTTTCTTGTGGGCTGCTGTATCCTTCTTTCCAAAATGGTCAAATGTGTAAATAATCTGTATCATTTACTGACTAAAATCCCAAAAGAGTGGCACAGTATCTTCATCCATGAAGACTTCCCTGACTTTCCACTATGACTGAACTCCTTGTACATAACCTTTTTTATAGTACTTAATTTAGTCATTATTTGATTACAGGTGTTTTTTTCAGGAGGCTGGAGTCCCTCAAGAAGGAACTTGCTCTGTTTCTCCATTTCTTGCTTTCACTATACAAAACTCATACCACACAAACTTATTAAAATATTAAGGAGTGGAAGGACTACTTTGCTGCTAAAGCTACAGAACACCCAAACCTATAATTAATATAATCACTTATGCAGTATATATGCATATATATATGGCCTATATTCATAGAATTAGCTTACCTGGCAACTCTTTTGGACCATCTCAACTGATTTGCACGAACTGCAACTTCTTGGTTAAGATGCCTTGCAATGTTTTTTATTTCTGGCTGTAAATTTTCCACCTAGCTAAAGAAAAAGTAGAATTTGTTAAGAGCACAGAAAGGATCTTTATTGATAACCACTCATAATTTTACTCTCTATTCTTCTAACTCACTGAAAAACGTGGTACTGATCATCTCAAGAAAATTTAAGTCTAAGGATAAGGTGTTAAATTTGCTTAAGATATCTTCAGTTACAACCAAATTCAAATTCCAGCTTATACTTTTAGCTATGTGATCCTGGGCAAGTTACTTAAGTTCTAAAACCCTGTCCCCTCATATATAAAATGTTTAATAATAGCACCTACTTCACAGAATTCTTATAAGGATTAAATAAGAACTGAACCCTATACTTTAGTGTTTCATCCTTGGACTTCTCAGTAATGGTAACTGAAAAAACAGAAGTCAATTATTAAGTTTTTAATATGCTCTGTGACAGCCACAGAGTCACAAAAAGTTTGCATTTATTTCTGCTCTGTGGCAATTCTTCCTGTAAAGTACCTCACTGCCTTAATGGTGCTGATGATTCCCTTTGTTTTTGGGTCCCCCATCCCCTATAATAATTTGAAAACATGGAAACCATTATTTTTGAAGTCTCACATTTGAACAATATTTTAACCCATATTCTCTGATTTGATCTCTTAACATTGTGAAGTACCTAGACGGTATTACTATCCCGATTCCACAGAAGAGATAGAAGCACTGAAGCCCAAGTGGCTGCGACTTACCAGAGTTGTAGGTGGTACAGCCCGAATAAGGAAATCAAGTTTGCAAATGGCTAGCTTAGCAGTTTTTTTCTAATAAGAAAGATGAATTGGAATACTTGGGGACAAAAGATGCTGCAGACATACAGACTGTTACAATCTTTAAGACGGCAATTTTACAGGTTTCCCCATACAACAACTCTGCTACCGCTTCATTTCTCTCATTCTCTAACAGCAAGCTTAGTAACCACTTGGGCTTTGAGCACAAACCCAGTAGGGTAAACGAAATGACAGGTACATGTGTCACCAAACATCTCTTAATTCACATATCCAGTGCTAGTTAAATTTCTTAGCAAGAAAGTGGTCACGATGATTTACACTAAGCACTCCAGAAGCACCCGGGGATTTTAGCCCCCCGTAGACTTCTACCACACCTCACCGCCAAAGCGGATGCGCAGGGTGCAGGTGCCCCTCACCTTGGCCAGAATGTAGTGTTGGTAGGCGGCCAGGGGTAGCGTGACGGCGCCGCGGAGGGCCACGGTGGTGAGACCGATGCAGGCCCACCAGGGCAGACCCGTGGCGGTGTGCACGCCGAGTAGCACCTCCTCCGTGCCATGCACCGGCGCCGACGTGGCCAGGGCCTCGTACCAGCTGCCAGGGCCGCCGGAGCCAACTGCAGAGACTGACGCCACTGCCCACACCGGCAGAGCAGAGTGCTTAATGCCGCCCGTTGAGGTTGGCGCAAGGGGCCGGTCCCGGGCCCCGTGCTGCAGTACAGGCAGCGGCCTCAGCCACCTACCCCTCAGCCGGCACAGCATGTCTGCGCCAGGGCTGAGCCAAAGCACGGACCTCACAGATTACTGTCGGGCTCCGCTCTGCCAGGGAAGCCACGCGCACGCGCCGGCAACCCCAGGCGAAAAATGGGCGCGCGCCCTCCCTCAGGCACTGTTGACTTTCCCAGTCAAGGCAGTGACGTCTTGCGTCGCACTGGAGATGACGCAGTTAGTAAGAAAGTCCCGCCTTTCCTACGCGGCACTGGGCAGGCCTACTACGCAGACACAAAACTTCCCCGCTACTGGTCTGGAGCTCCTCAGAGGCCGGACCGGAATTGCAGAACTAGGGGCGGGACTTGCTGCCTCGGACCCGACTGGGCGGTCTCTAGAAGCCCTCGCCTTTTTAAGTCGGTCTTAAGCGTGTGCCTTTGCATTCCTTTTCACTTAAAACTAGTCGTTTGGTTTGTAGTGGATTAAACTGGGTAGGTGGTTTTTGTGACCAGAAGGTAGTCCCCCACCTCTTTACGTGCAATCAGATTGCTTCTGCTAGAGACTAAGATGGATTATACTGCCAAAGAGTCAACACGTTGCTGAACTGCCAGGTTGGAGAAAGGCATGCGCTTCTGGCTGACCTGAGTTTTAATGAGCATCCATTATGCACTAGGCATAGTTAAGTCTGTGGTATAAAGATTTAATTGGCTCATCTGTTCAGTTAACATTTTCAAACCCAACTGCAAACTGAGTGTCAAGTGTTTTATCTTCAATATAAAGAGCAAAACTCAAGGGTACTATACCGTCTTCTTACTTGAGGCGTTATCACTGGCAGGGAGGGGAATTCTTCACCAGAGCTTACGTGTATCCTATATAAAGGTTCAAGAGCGTGAACAGTAACATTAAGCGTCTTCGGCTTAAAAAGAATACGCCAGATCTATACGGACTAGTTTTGACTTTTGTGATCCTGGCAACAGTATACAAACCGGAATGGAGTGAAGGAGTTTAATCACATAAGGGTCACCCCTAAACCTAGAGCCCAAATTGTGTTGTGCGGAATAAAATGATGGTTAAAACAAGTCTCCGGCAAATGTTGGGATAATGCTAAATTGCAACTATGGTTCTTGTTTCATTATGCACCTATACGAATTTTGAAATGTTTAAACACACAAATCCCAATTTATGCCTTACACAGCCTTACACGGCTGTTCCTTTTCAAAAGAAAAAAACGTACAAATCTATCTCCCTATCCATTTTCACAAATGGATAGGAAAGTCCCATGAGCAATTGTTAAAAAAAGCAACCGGGGCGCCTGTGTGGCTCACAGCGGATCCGGTGGAGGTCCTGGGTTGGAGCCCCCGCTTAGGCGCCGTGCTCAGTGGGGAGTCTGCTTGAGGATTCTTTCCTTCTCCCTTTGCTTCTCCCCCAACTCACATTCTCTCTCTCAAATAAATGAATAAATCTTTAAAAAATATTAAAAAAGCAAAAAGTAAAAGCAACCGGTAGCTAGTGACTACTTCAAAGTGGAAACAAATTTTAAATGGAAATATCTTTGCCTATAGATTTGTGGGAGTAAAGAAGCAAATTCTATGCTATTGCATTTCTCTCCTTTCGGAGAACTGATGTCATTGGAAATTGGTCCTTCCACAGTAGCAGTTAAGCCTAGGGACTCTGACCTTTTAATACCCAGGAGAAAGGGAGTTGATTAGGTCACCTTTTCTGGAGTCACATATTATATTCTCATTTTAGAGTGTTTCATTGCTTTAAGTTTCAATATTATGATCTAAATAAAATTTATATTTAACTTCTGCTAATTTCGTATGTACTAACATACATTTCTAAATTCATATAACAGGAATGATCAGAACTTCTCTACTTGGTAAAGAATGCTGGGGGAAGTATTTGTCAGTTATAAAACAATACAAAAGGAGAGTGTTAGCACTAATGTGTATGTACTAGTCATCCAAAATTGTGGTAACACCTGTCTTTTGATTGCAGAGTACAGTATGAAATGACCATACATTGAACAAACCAACTGATTATCTTGTCAAGTCTAACACTGCAAATGAACTTGTGCAGCATACTGGAACATTTTTTTAAAGTTCAACATTTGTAATTAGCCTATTCTTGTCTTTACTATGTCACACAACTAATTTTTTTTTTAACTTTAAGCCCCTTAAAAATAGAGACTGTTTCATTTTCTTTCAGCAGTTTCTGAATCAGTGCTAAACAGTGTGGGCTCAAAAATTCAAAATTTGAATACAGGCTATTTACACATATAAACAGTGTAAATGTACATTTAAATTTCTCATTTCCCAGATATGCCCTCTGAAATGTTTGACAAAAGAACTTTTAAAAGATAAATATTTTCATGAGCAATTGTTAAAGTGACCTCTCGGAATTAATTTTGGTTGAATTTCTTTTTCTTTCCTACTTATTTAATGCATTGCTTCTTAAAACCAAAGTTAATGTAAAATTAGCCTTTCATCTCTATTGAAAAACATCCTCTCATCTTTCTTATCATGGTTCTTACTTAGCATGCAAAACTGACTTTTACCTTTCAAAAGTGTGAATGCATTTAAAGATAGAAGTCTAATATGAAACCTCTTAGACACATCTTAGTCATGTATTCCAACTGTCCTATCGCAAAGGAATTATGTCAAGCCATAGTTGTACACTTCACTCTTACCCAAAATACAAGTGATAGTATTTTTGCAATCAAGGTATGTAACATAGTAAGTCATATTAAGCACTAATGAAGCTCTCATTCTAAATTCATCACCTGGCATTAGCACCAGTTAGTTGAGTGTTGCGACTTGAAGCAAGCATTTATCAGTGGGACGTATACAGGTTTCTCCACTATCTCAAAGTACAGATTTCCTACCAAATCTTTCATAGGCCCAAATAGTGGAAAGCAAAGTATCCCCTCTTTCCAAAAGTTTGCATTATATTACTTGGCACTAAGGAAGTTCTGTAATGCCAGATCTGCAGGAATGAGAGTGTTGCTAAAAAGCCCAAAATGAAAAACAGAGGAAATAAAACAGAGGCTCTGAAGAGGTTTTGTGATTTTGAGTTCCCTCTTTAGTCTATCACTTTGTATTTTTTAAAAAATAAAGTGAATAAAATAGTGTGCAAAATAATTTTTATGAAATGTGCATTTAGGTCATTTGAGTCAAGAGAAAGATAGAATGATATTTTCATGAACAAGACAGGATCCGGAAGTAAATTATCCCCCCCTCCATTTTTTTTCCTAAGAAGAAAAATGACAGTAAGTATAGTAATTTAACAAAAAGTTAATTTTCAACTACTAATAAAATGACTTATTTTTACAGTAATAGTATATAGAAGGGAAAAATATCTTTCACATGAATACTACAATCAATTTTTGTGAATATGTTAATACATGTTGAAAACTCACGAAATGGGGGTTCCATTGGCTCTGGTAAACAAAATCATCTCTAAAATGAAATGGTTGGTATAAAAAGATTACGTAATTGGGATATTAATTATTTTGCTATTTGAGGTGTGAGCTAAGCCAAATATTATTTCCAAAAGTTAAGTCACTTCTTAAAAAATGAAAGAAAGGTGTGCCTAGGTGGCTCAGTCAGGTGTCAGGCTCAGGTCATGATCTCAGGGTTGTGAGATCAAGCCCCGTGTTGGGCTCTGCGCTGGGAGTGGAGCCTGCTTAAGATTCTCTTCCTATTCCTTTGCCAACCACACTGCCAGCCCCCAGCTCGTGGGCACACTGTCTCTTAAAAAAAAAAAAAAAAGAATGAAAGAAATACAGCATGTAGTCTGCAATTACACATACCATATACTTTCAAAAGCGGGGGGGAAAGACCTGCATGGTCTCAAAAGATTATGGTTTTTTTTTTAATCTTTCAAATAAAAATGCACTGTTTTACATCTGAAATATAAAAAATGTGTTTGAAAAATGTTCCTAATACAGACTTCTAAAATCATGGTATTGTACTCAATAAGACAGAGCTCCAAAACTAAATATGGAGTATGCAATCTATATTCCCGACCCATAGGTTCAAAGTCAAGAAAATATAGGTCATTTCTTACTAAGACACCCCCAACTTAACAAATTCAGTTTTGTGAATCAACACAACTCATGTGTTGTAATAAATACTGGGTGGTATCTATTATCTAGCAGGATTATTTTCATTATAATTAACTCAGGAAAAAAATTAAACAAGAAATTATAGGATAGTGGCAAAAGTCATATATAAAATACTCTGTTAAACAGCATTACACACCTTTCTTAGTAAAGTGTTATAATTTTATTTCAGAGGTATGTTTGCAGGATATCATTTAGCTTTTCCCCTAAATTTGGTCATATCGATCATAGGTAGCAAAACAAATTTATATATTTTAAGACCACCTCCTAAATTAAAGTATATATGTGTGTTGTTTACAAACTTCTAGGTATGTTTGAGAAATCTTTTTACTCTTTATTCAGGCTATCAGACTAAAGAAATCATTTCATTTACTTTACAGCCAAGGAACCATATTAATATTGTCAACTCTGGGCGATTTATCTGAATTTGAGTTTCACTACTGTGGAATTTTTTTAATTAAAAAAAAAGGGAAGATTGATGCATTCATTACTGCACTTTTATGCTTACTGTCTTTTATATTTCAACCATATAATTTATTTTTCCATATGAGACAGGGTAGGACACATATTCTTCTTGGATATGTTATTGTTTATTGTTTCAAGTGAATGGAATAGATAAATCTCACTGAGTAGTTTAGTGTGGCCCTGTATCTTATATAAACAGGTTAAATGAAGACGTTATTTTGTATTCTGTATATTCATGTATACCATAAATTGTCTTAATGACAAATGCAAAATTTCCTTTATTACTTGCCCCAAGTTAGCTGTTGATCCCTTTCACTGAAAATATACAAGTATAGAGAACAAGGAGCCTTTAAAATTAGGGGGGAAAAAAGATACTTTCCACTAAATTACTGAAAATTGGAATTTTTATGTTGACTCTTGATGACTGGAAAGCCAATGTTAAGAATCAATATATCCAATAAAAAATAGTACATTGAATTATTTAATAATAAACAATA